AGCATTGTTAATTTTCCAAAACATCCAACATTTTAATCTGACTTTTCAGTGTTTTCTGCACATTACTGAAGAGAAATTTTGGAGTAGTGCTGTGACCATTTCTCGAATGAGCAAATTGTTGGGGTTAAATTACTGGGTTAGGATCCTTGAATGTGAATCCTGATGACCGTCTGTCTTGTCTCACAACAGTGCTGTGGTGAAACGAGGTGGTTAGGGTGCGGAGGTGCAGCCGGTGGCCTGTGGGGTGTTCTCCATTAGCAGCTTCTCCCACAGGAAGACAAACCACCTGTGAGAGGTCTCCAGGCAGTTGTCTTTTGCTGCTGCTTCATAATGAGCATTCGCTCAGTGGGTGAAATCCGAAATGTCTCACTGCTGTGGCTGGGAGCTAAGCCTTTGTTCATGAAGATCTGTGTTTTAATGCTGTTAATGTTTTCATTTCATTCACTTGTTAAGGCAATAAAAGAGATTGTATTCCTGGCAGACTGATACAAACCCTGCCAAATGAGAACCTCTGGCAATTTGAACTTCTGCCACTCAGCTGCCAAGAGGAGGGCAGCTACTAGGGCTGCTGCTTGTAGCATGAATTAGGGGCTGGGCAAGCCTGGCTGGCAGAGCAGCCCCTGTTCAGGTACTGCTGGGTTCTGCACACCAGGGTAGCTGCTCACCACAACAGCAAGCCCCGTGCCTGTATGTAATTCAGTTTGGGGCGTATCTCTTTGGAGCCACAGCCAGAAGTGGATTACAGCCTGGAAAATGTACCCGTCTTCTGCTGAATAAATCAGCTCAGATAGTAATCAGACTTGAGACACATATTGTGGGCTTGTATGTTAAGTCCAAGCTGACAGCGCTCCTCAGCAGTGGTTGCTCAAACAAAATGAGACCGCGCCACCTGACTGCACAGTAAATACAGCTTTGGTTATCACCACAGCCTCTTCAGTCACCTGTTCAAAGCTGCAGTCTTGTTTCCTGCTCTGCCAAGTTTCCACTCCATGCCAGCCCAACTGTGTGTGAGGTCACAAGACCATAAGGTAGTTCTGGCTAAAGGGACTCCAGGATGTCATCTGGCCCATCCTGGTGCCCGGTGCCTCAGGGGTTTGCCCAGTGAAGACTTGGAGTCGGGAGTTGCTAAAAAAATAAAGACTCATGAAAGTTTTATATAGCATGTCACAAGCAGGAGAGTTCATGGAGAATGGGAAAGGGAAGGCAAGGGGCAGATTGGTGGCAGTCAAAATATGAAGGATATCTCCAGAAAGACGATGCAATGATAGGAAAGCTTGGGTCTTTCCTTGCATCAGTGAAGATCTTGAAGGAGATCTGACAGGCAGGTTTCTACCCAAAAGCTGTTGTTTGCGTGGTACGTCTAAGAAACTGTTCAGGCTACTTGGCATTGCAAGAGGATCTTTTTATTCTTTTGACTAATGAAACAAAGTGTAAGTAGTATCAGGGTCAGTGGTGTCCTTCCACCATTGTAAATATCTGCTCAAGTTTCATTGCGACACAGATGCAGCTGTTCTGCTGAGATGAACTAAAGGCCTGGGCTGCTGAAAACTGGTGGGACATACCAGGGTAATAATTGCTCTGCATACACCTGGCACCCTTTCTGCTTTTCCCTAAGCACTTGCCAGTGGCTTCTGTCATAGGCAAGCTCCGAGAATAACATTGGAGATAAAAAGAGAAATTTATCATGATGTTGCCTTCTGCAATTGCTCTCATACTGCTGTGTTGCTCAGGCGCTTGTGTCTGAAGCCTCCTGCCGTATTAATGACTTACTGGATTTACAGGTCATGTGCTTTAGTCTCATTAATTTGAATATATCATTATCCTAAAATACATACTTTAAAATCTGAGACAGGAACAGGTTTTTTTGTGTAACACCTGAAAGGCGTTCCAACTTCAAATTGAAATTTTGTGTGCAAATGATAGAACATCAATAGCTTTTACAGCAAAGTGGAGCAGAATAGAACATAAGGAGAATAGGATTGATTATATTGAAGAGAGGGAAGAAAGATTTGCATAGGTTCTGTGTTGGGACTTAATATCCACAATATCATCAGCTATGCATAGTGTAAATGTTCTCCAGGGCTTTATTATGTGAGATACTCCTCATGGTTAAAAAGGTATGGAAGGACCCTTTCATATTAAAACTTCCTGTTCTTTTGATTTAGCAGCAATTAAGCAAGGAAAGGAAGATTAAAGAGCAAGAAAGTCTAAATAAATTTCTGTTTCTGGAAACAGAGACTACAAAACAGCTTTTCATGCAGGATATGAATTATGCTTATACTTAAGAAGCAGTGTTTTGCAAGCATAATATCTCAGAGCTGGTAGAGGAAGATTTCAATATGCAGAGATTTAGCCATGTTTGAAGTCTCAGTTCCTAGTAGAAAAAAAAAACATTCCTAAATACAAATGTTTTAAAAGGAATATAAATAAATAATAAAAAAAGAAATGCAGATAATATTAAATAATTAACAAGTTTTGAATTTAATATTTTCTCTTACAGTTAATACATTTACCTGTTAATTTCATAGATTCTGTAGTAATCATAAAAAAAGGTTTATAGTCTTTAACAGTTATATCTGCAAAGGAAATAATAAGGTTTGTATACAGTTCCTGTACTGAGATACTCTTTTAAACCTGACAAATTTGTGTGAATCACGTTAATCACAAAACAAGGGACAAATACCCACCCTCACTTAAAGGTAAATCAAAAGCAGATGTTGAACAATGCTGAGAAGTTGATTACAGTAAAACATTCATGTATCATCAAATTTTGGAAATTAAACTTCTTGTTTCTGTCTTATACTGCTTTCTACAGAACACTTAGTTATGATGAAATGAAGTTAATAAATCAGGAGATTAATCCCAGATTTGCATGTTAACTGAATAGTTTGTCTAGTACTAAAGGTATTAGCCAGCACTATGGCACTCCTGTAAGCTGCTCTGTCTTCTATTTCATTTCCAGGCATGGGTCTGGATAGAGTTGACTTGTAAGATTCAGGGCTTTTTCACTTTGCACAGATGACTGTGTGTCTTTGTGATACATCTGCAGTTAATTTATGCAATATGAGGGGAAGCAGGTAGGGTTTGTCATGGGGGGGAGGGGAGGGAGGGGTTAACTTGCTGTTGAAAGTGTAGTAAAAATTTAATGTAGGTAAATGTCTTACCTGTATGAATAAAATACAGGTTGTATGGATTTCTCAAGGCATGTTAATGCCTTTTAATTTCTGTCGACACATAAGAAATTCTATTTTCAGCACGTAAATCTAGTCATTCAATATTTAGGAATTGCATCTTCTGTCTGATGAAAAAGGTGACAAAATATTCCTTGAAGATTAAAGACCATTACCCCCTTAGCAATACTAGTTTTAAGAAGTTGATGTTCCTCCAAGCATGGACAAGGTGGTGTTCATTAAAACACTTTTTTCATCCTTAGCATGAAACTAGATGCACTATCAACAAATAAGTCTACTTCTTAAGTTACTTGAAATACATATATTTTCAAGTTGAAATAAGATTAGTAAGCTAATGAAAATAGTAGCTTTCTGATTGGATTGGATTGGATTGGATGAGTAGGTGTTATCCAATTTGAAACAATTAGCCCTGTCCAGTGATACTACTTAACACAACTAAAACTTGCACAGGACTTTTTATTCATGCTTTCCTTTCCCAGTCCTGCTGAGCAGGATAACCTTTCATCTAAGAAAACCTGGGATAACCTTATTCTGTTTTTAAAAAAACTGGTTTGAAATTACAAGAGGAGTATTGTAAAGGTGAAATAGGCAGCAATGGCATATAGCACCCTCTGCAAAGGCAGAGGATGGAAAAGATTGGACGGGAGGTTCCCAGCAGCTCTTCCAGGAGTAAAAATGAATGGTGGTTTAAAGGAGGTGTTGACCTGTGTTAGTATAGATTATTTTCAGTAGGCTATGAACAGCTCTTGTAGACTGGGTGCAGGGAAGCAGTGACATGTAGGACTTCAGCTGTGTAGAAAAGTGTGGTTTGAGATTGGTAGACTATGGAGCTGTGTTGAGAGCACAAATAGATTTGGAAATGCAGTTGTGTCATTACCGGTGGAGTTGAAAGAAAGATTGCCAGAGAGTGTGCCATGGGGGTCACTAAGGATAGCAGATGAGATTAAGCTTTGGCACAAGTTGAATTTTGTATCCAAATTCTGTTCATAATTCTTATTTTTCTTTTAAAAGAACAGGTTACTAAACACTTATGACCATGTTATGTTTTGTTATTGTGTGTTTGTGTGTATTTGCAAGCTGAATAAGTGCACAAAGGATTTTTCACGGGTCTGCGCTTTTTCAGTCTGCTTGTAAGTATTTAATGGTACACCTGAGTTGCAGTGTAACCTGAAGGAAGAAGAATGAGTCTACTAGTTTGTTGCAGTCCTCCTAGGTCCAGAGCATGTCAAGGCTGCAGGTGGGTAGCACCTGACTCGAAGCACTCAGAAGAATTGAAAATTTCAGGAACAATACGAAAATCAGCAGTCTGTCTGCTAGTACAGCAATGTATTATTTACCTTATATGGTCTGGTAAGAAGGAGCTGCTGAAAACAACTTACTTTTTTTCATTTTAACTTTTTTCATTTTAACTTAATCTCATAATTCCCTTGTGGTAGGACATATTTGTCAGTAAACATACACTAGCATTAACTAAGAAACTCTCCTGCTCACTTGTAATATAAGGGCACGAAAGCTCATTCTTTACTTTTTCCTTCATTGTTTGTTTTTTTCTGCACGTTGAAGTAACGATAGTTCTCCATCTTTCCTCCCATGTTCTACTTCCACAGCAGCTGCCTTGTGGTTCTTCTAGCCTACATAGCCTTCTTGGCTTTTTCATACACGGAGAGAAGAGATGGGCACAGGGTTTTGGTTTTAAAAAGAGCTTTCAAACAACAGATTTGCTTAGAAGCAAGTAAAAAATAAGAAATTTGGCAATGCAGGGAAATGACAAGAAATGTTGCCTTTATCTATCTCTTGATTTTATTTTAGGTTTATCCAAATGAAGAGAAGAACCATTCCACAGAAGAACTTAGCAAGTCTGATATCCAAGAGGAGCTGAAAAAGGCTAATAGCCTTCCTAGTTTGACTCCTGGAAACAAAGCAGCAGATAAAGACAAGCAACCCCGAGAAGGTTTTTTTCAGTTTCTTGGAAGCTTGTTTAATCTTGCAACAAAATCTTCTTTGGTAGACTCTAAACCATCCGCCTGCCAAGATGAACCCAACAGATGTGAAAAGGATTTACAGAACACAAATACCCTTACAGAGGGCACGCAACCACAGCATCCAAAAACTGAAGAGCCTGTCTGTTCTATGGCTAGAATAAAAGAGGACTCTGTAAATAAAGATGACATGATCTTAAATAACATTGGGAAAGACAGTTCACAGGATCAGCAAGGAGGCCGGAAACGATCTGCAGATGTGAAAAAGTAAGTTTTATATTTTAATACTAAATTACAGAAAAGCGTATATGTGCAGAGAGCGACGGTAACTAAGTTCTGTTGAGTGGAGGTCAGATGACTGATGTTCCCAAGGGTGTTTGGAGTGTCCCTGACTCAACTTTATGCTAGCCTCTGTAGTAAATACCATAAATGGGGAGAAGTCAACTTCTACAAAATACAACTTTAAAAATATATTTCTATACGTATAGAAGTTTTCTGTCCATGGGTGATAGATTCATTATAGATCGTTCTAGATACAAGGAGAGAAAAGACGTGGCGTAAATGCATTCAGAACTGTAGACTTATTTTAAAGAAAAAAAAATACAAAACTTATTTTATGTCTGTACTGTGGGCTAAGTAAAAGTTAAATTTCTTGTCGTTTTTGTATTTCACTACTTCAGCGCTTTTACTTCTGCAAGTAAGGTTTCTACATATTTAAGTTATCTTTCCTGGTTTATTTAACTTGGCATTTTTGCTTATTTATGTTGTTTCCCTTTGTTCTTAGCATTTTTTTCTGTAATTGAAAGGTTATATAAAGTACTCAATTAGCCTAAGTATAGAACATCCTCAACAGTCCTGTAATATTTCCAAAAAAATATTTCCAAAAAATTGATGCCAAAGGCACTGATGCATATCCGGGAGTAGAAAAGCTAAAATATTGCCTATGCTTCACCATGTATATTACAAGATAGTGTGTCTCTGGTATAAACATTCTTAGTATTCCAAAAGTATTTGTAGCTGTTACGTTGAATATTTGACTGTATGTGGTCCAGTTTCTGCTTGGTATTCAGAATGTGACCTTGCCCACCTGTAATTAATTTTCACTACCAGGATGTGTATTTCAAATTTTAAGCCAGAAGTAATGACTTGCATTTATTGTAATTCTATACAAGTACTCCTGTGGTTAGTGAAAGGAAAGTAACTCTCAGATTTCAGAATTGGTAGATGCACTGAGCATGAACACTTCCTTTTTTTTTTTTTTTTAACTGTTTTTGGGTTTTTATTTTTTGCAAGTTTTAAAGTTAATTTGAATTGCATTCAATCTATTTATCTATGGCATGTGAAGCATTTCATCTCCAGACAGAAGATCAGAGGTTCGCAAAGTAGCTGCATAATGAATTTTGCTTTCACACTGGGGATGCCTATATCTCTCCCTGTTACTCAGTTTGGCTGATAATTTTGAGCATCTGTAATTCTCCTTTATATTATAAACGCAGTGGTGATCTGGATATAATTAGGGGACATCACCTCTTCAGGTGAACCTTAGGCTGTATTTCCACCACTAAAATACCATACTGTTTGTAATAATAATGATTGTGTTTTCTTAAGTACTCTTTGGTTTGGTCTGATTGTTACAGTCAGCCAGTTTTTATGATGGATTCTTAATGTACTAGCATATCTGACATTCTTTCCAAAATGTAAATTGCAGCCCATGACCACTTCATTGGTCCACTCCTTTAGTTGTTAGCTTGAGAGGCCTAGATGTATAATGTTATGTATTATTCCAGTTTCTGAACAAACTGTTTTTTCTTTAAAAAAAATGTTGAACAGGCTGGCATGCTTCAGGAAGCTCTCACTGCTGTTTGCTGTTTTGGTAGTATGATTTGGAAGCTAAAGATGAAGTTGTGTGCCATAATGCCAGGAGCTGTGCAGATGCACACATCACTCCTTCCCTCAAACAGACTATAATAAAATTAAAAAAAAAAAAAAAAAAAGCAATAGGTATCAGTAGATCTTTCTCACTTTTTGTTTCAATTCATGTAGTTTCTTCCATCTTTTATCTCAGTGTACTTTCTACTGTGTTTTTTTCAGTGTTCATTCTTTCTCACTTTCTCCATACACAGCTGTTGATCATATTCTTCAGTTTATGGTGGTGGCAATTTGTTCTTTATGTAGTTTTTTCCTCCCTCTTTTTGATGACAGAGTTGAACAGTTCATATGCTGTAGTTCTGTCATTTACCTTCAGTGACTCCTGTCTATTTAGATGACTATGAATACTGGAGTTTCAGCTAAAGGCCCAAAATATGAGGGAACTAAACATGGCAATTGCAGCTTGCAAAGGAAGAGTAGATGAGAGGCAGCCTCCAAAGAATTCAGTTTTTTTTTCTCAGTCCCCTGGATGATGCTATAAGGGAATGGTTCTTATTTCTCCTTCCAGGTGGAAACCTCTGGCTTCTGCTGACTTTTCAGTGTACAAAGCAGCTTTGTTTGACTTTCCAGTTCTATGGATGCTTCCAGATCTGTGACTAGGATTAATGAGAGTGGCAACGTGTTGAGGGTTTGTTGGGTTTTTTTTGCTGTTCTGTTTGTTTTATACCAGTGCACTTGAGTAGATGCTGAGTAGTAATGGATGAGATGCTAGGCAGTCTACACACAGTTGAGAAGGTCAGACAGTTTCAGTGCTCAGAGCAGTGCAGATTTATACATAAGGCATTAATGAATGCTTACACAGTTCAGAGTATTTGAGAAATAGCTCACTGAAGAGACCTCTTTGTTTTGCACAGGTATTTTTTGAGTTAGATTGGTTTTATTGAAATCAAAGTTAAAGTTGACATTTTCAATTGACCGTATTTTAGTATGGCCTATATTGTGAGATAACCTATGCAAATCAGTGTGAATGTTTATCTTTGTGGTTTACTTGTCTTATAATCAAGGAAGAATAAAAACATCTGTTACAGGTTTGAAAGTTAGAGTGAGTTGGTCTATGTAGAAATTTTTTTTTTTTTTTCCCCAGAAACTTCTAAATGTAGCTGTAGTAATATTGGACAAACATTAAAACACATTTTCCTTTTAAAATTGTTCTCAGAAGTACAGCTTACGTTCTACCCTTTTTGGCTCAGCACATTAAAAAGTTGGGCAATCTCTGTGCAACTTCTGTGTATGTTTTTCTCTGCCTGACTACACAGTGTGAACTGTGTTTTGAAGCGATTACTGAAGAGAAATTGAAACAATAGTGTGGAAGCAGAGGTTTGTACTGGTCACCGTTTTAAACATTTGAATTAAGAATACCTATTTTTTATGTTATGGAGATGATTATGTCAGTTTTATTCTCTTTTAGTTTATTAAAACTTAAAGAATGTAGAACAGGTGTTTTTGGTTTTTTTTCTCTTCAGTGCTAGCTTCTTTGCTAAATATTATCTAACTGGTTTTAATTTAGAGTAGTTAAATTGTAAAAAACACTCTTGATTGATGATAGATAGCCTGATAGTTTTGTAGAGTGTACTACAAACTAGCTAGCTGAGTGCTAAAAAATATGAACAGTGATGGGCAAAAAGATGTAGCAGAAAGGAACAGAACGGTCTGTAGGTATCATGAAGGAAAGTGGTGATGTGAATGTTGTCTGCTAATATCTTGAGGATTGGGTCCTAAAAGACAGATGAAACACATTAGTGATCCATACGTATTCAGAGGCACTGCTGATTCCATTTATTGTTATATTAAAACATAGTTTTTAACATTTATTTCAGAGAAGAGTTGAAATGTAGGGCTTTACAAATATTTAAGGTGACTGCAAACATGTATTATTAATCTTGTAACTTTCCTTTGTCATGAGGAACATTCTAAATGAACTTGTTAATTCTAAACTACTGTTAAATATTAAATTAGAGGTTGTTATCTGTGGTTAGGGGGAGGCTGCAATGATAAGTAAAAGAGGAACAGTTGTTAGGTTGCATAACTCTCATGGAGATTATTTTGTGTGGTGTTTTTTCAATAAAAAAAAAAAAAAGAACAAAGAAACTTTCAGAAATTAATGACTGTCAAGTAGTCTCAGAGCATGCAAGACTGAGACCCAGACAACCTGATTAACCTCGTATCCTTAAAGCAATGTTTTGCAGAATACAAGGAAATGAGACTGCTCTGACTTTGTAGACTGAGGTTACTTCTGCCCTCAGTGGGAGGCCTGGCCTTTAGTAGAGACTCAAATTTCCAGGCCTTGAGCCAAGGAGAGTGGAATTTGTGAGCTTAGTCTGTGGAGTGTGTGTTTGCAATGGACAAAACATGTAGGCCATGTTATTTCTCCATCACCCTCACTGGCTGACAGGCTTAGTGGTAATTGTACCTTAAGGGCTTCTGGTCCTTTATCCAGACGGTGACAGGTGGTAAAGAAGCAGCATAGAGGACAAAATCATGATAAACTGAACAAACTCTCCAGGCAATAATTACTGTAGACAGTAATGTAATAATTGTGATACTGAAGATGAATGATGAGAGTTGGGTTGGCTAGGTCTCCAGTTATTGCAGCCATTAGTTTTCCAGTTATGTGGGATGGCTGATTATTTCACAGAATCTAAGAATTATAGGGGTTGGAAGGGAGTTCTGGAGATGATCTAGTCCAACCTCCTGCTAGAGCAGTTACCTATAGTAGGTCACACAGGAGGGCATCCAGGTGGGTCTTGAATATCTTCAGAGAAGGAGATTCGATAATCTCTCTGGAGAGCTTGCTACAGTGTTCCATCACTGTGAAGAAGTTCTTCCTTACCTAATTATCAAATTTCCCATTACAGTTTCTTCCCATTGCCTCTTGTTCTACTGCTGCTCACCCTCAAAGAGTCTGCCTTCACTGACTTGATTCCTGCAATTTAGATGTTTATGAACAGTGATAAGATCCCCTTCAGTTGTCTTTTCTCCAGACTGAGGAGTCCCAGATCACTCAGCCTTTCGTTATACAGGAGATGCTCCAGACCCCTAATCATCTTTGCTACCCTCCACTGTACTGTCTCTAGGAGATCCCTGTGTTTTTTAAACTGAGTAGCCCAGAACTGGATGCAGTTCTCCAGAGAGAACTCAGCAGAGAGTAGAGA